AAAAGAAGACCCTGCGAATAGTCCTTCCCCAATAGCTTGCTGCAACTCAAAGTCAACCGAAGGTTCGGCCAAACCTTTGAAAAAAAACCGTTTGGCCAAACCTTTAAAAAAAAACCCTTCCGCCGCATGAAGGATAGGCTCAGAAACGAACGTGTTCTTGTCAAGCACATCGCACGCGTATACTCGGCTGGGTTGTAATCAACAGGCAGTTCGATGTGGGACTATGGATTCCTTCGATGTGGCCGCACTAGCATCGGAGCCGCTGGTCGTGTTCTGCGTGGCCACGGCGGGCAAAGGCTACGCTCGAGCTCCAATGTCTTGGAAGAGGGTCAGATGTTGTTTGCAGTTGCGACGTGCCAAGGAATCAGTTGGCCAGTGTGCATTTGGCCCTCTTTCTTAAGAAGCTAGCAGCTTGCGGTCTGCTGACGAAGGCTAATCAGGCTACAGAGACCTTGACAGCTTTGTGTCCAGGACTCTACAGAATTGTGCATCATCCTTAAGATGTCTGGTTTGGTGCAGTCCGGGCTGTAACACACATTGCTGCAGGCGAGTTCTGCGGCAATGGCCGCAACATGTTTGGCAAGCTTCAGGAGCTCTGGTGAGCCTGTGCAGGCTTGTTGGCATTGAGTCAAAGCTATATGCTGTCTGCTCCTGGACGGCCAGAAACTGGCCAGGTAACGACAAGGATCATGTTAAGTGATTAGCCAGCAGTGGAATGAAGTGCGAGTGCTCTTCGTGAGCGATTTGCTACCTAGTTTGAACTCAGCCTCTGCAGAATGCCGCAATGCCGCAATGCAAAAACAGAGTGGCAGCGCAGGAGCGGAGCGATCTGTCCCTCAGCGCGGTGCACTCAGCCTTGCTTCTTTGCTCCGGGGCATCATACCGCCAAGTAGCGGGTTCGCAGAGGGACAGTGCAAGCATCATCGCTGAGGAGCTGAAGTACTGCATTTTCGGCCTCGGTGACTCGCACTACTGGGGCAAGGGCACCGAGGCGAATCATAGTAGCCTGTAAGTTGTTGACGACACTATTTTCAATATTCAGATCGGTATGTCTCCGCGCGGGAGGAGTCAAAGTTTAACTTTGCTAAACCGGCACGTGACTTGGACGATCTTCTCGAGAAGCTCGGCTTTGTTGGGTGGGGCTGGGAGGCGGTGGTAGGCCAGGACCACGGCATGCCACGGGCCTGGTTTTTCTTAGGAAGATGGGGGCCCAGCGCATGATGCCCACGGGCTTCGGGGACGACCAGGACTGCTCTTCTGCATCGTGCTCCAGATGGTTCGGCCAGAGTCGGACTTTGCTGCTTAAAGACTTAAAGTGTGTTTCCGGAGGACACTGACCAGTATCACACTGGCTTCGCCGAGTGGAAGGGCCAGCTTTTCTCCCGTCTCGGGGTTGACAAGGCTGGACGGCAAGCCATGTTGCGAGCCCCGCCAAGTGTGCTGCGGCTGAGAGGCCGATGCCGCCGGTGGTGGTGACGATGGCCCAGTGAAGACTGACGAGCAGATCAAGGATCCAGCTGCTTTTCAATTAAACAAATGACACAGAAAACAACTTTCCCCGGCGCTGCTAGGTAGAGACCAAGCAGCTGCGTGGTAGCATGAAGGCAGGGAAACGGGAAGTCTTTGGGCTTGCTCACACGAGTATATCATATCAGTGTCGGCAATCGCAACCCCGCCAGATGTCAGATGATGTCAGTTTGGTCAAACAGCCAAGCCTGTGAAGGAAAGCTTGGATGATGTCACCACCGGTCAGATCCCCTTCCAGGCCAACTTGATTTTGGTAATTGGCCTGTAGCTCCCACATCCGTGCTGATGCTCTTATGCACACTACGACGGAAGCTTTCACCCGATGCTTTGAGGACACCAAGCTGATCAAGTCGCATGGCAGCTACCAGCAGGAGACGAGGGTTTACGCATGCTCGCACAGGCCATCTGAGAGGTCCGCAACAATTCTGCCCTTCCTACATGAAGATATGATCTTGTAGTGTCCGACGTGGCGATCTACTGAGGACCAGAGGACCCTGAACATTCTCATGTTTGCAGCTTCTTTGCGAGTGGACAGCAAGAGGATGACCGTGACCTTCGCGAAGAACGGCAGAAGATGGGCGTAGAGAATGTCACTAGGTCGAACCTGTCGCGCAACCGATGCATTCAACACAGTTTTTTGTTATCGAGTGCGCCATTCCTGCCTGCAATGTAGGAGCATAGCACGATGACAAGGTGCTAGCCGACAGTATTAGACAGCACTGCGCAGTCGTTGGCACGTGTTGGCACGCCCTTGGCACACCAGGCTTTTTCCTTCATGATTCGAGCCTAAGCTGCACGAAGGCATGTGAATGCATGTGAATGATATACTTGGGAAGTAGAGTTTTTTGGTTCATACACGACTATTGCAATGCCAAGGTGTGCGCCTTCCTGGTGGCTTCTGCACAGCGGAGCAGTGGATCGCCATGGATGTGCCAACCTTAAACCACACGCACGCAGAAGCGCTTTTCACGTGTCGTGTGCTTCTGATAAGACAGGGTTGCGGCTGAAGGAGCATCATTGAAATTGGCAACAAGTCGTTGAAGCTAGGCTAGGCAGTCGGTACAATGCCAGCTCGAAATGCAGGAGTCCGGTGGCCACTGGTGAACCCGACATGCTGGGCTAGGCTGAGTGGGGAATGGCAAGCGGAAGCTCCAAAACGAGTTGTAGTGGGAGCGGGAGCAGGCAAACTTAGAAGGAGATGTTTGTTCTGGCGACCCCAACCACGAAGAACTGAGAAGTGTGAGCCTGTCTTCAGGATAGCGGAGAAAACCGCATTCAATGTATGGTTAAGCAGCAGTCATTTCGAGAAGTGCAAAGATTGATCAAAACAGTGATCCTCGGATAGAAGTAACCACACAAAGGTCACGACATGTGCGTTTCTTATGATTCTTGCACTCATGGCAAGGCGAACAAGAAGAGCCAGCCAACCGAACAGTACGCGATGCGGATTTGCAGACGAGTTCAACACTTGGAGCCTGCCATCCAGTAACAGAAGGAACCGGGGGGAAGAAAAGGAAGGAAGCAAAGGAAGGGAAGAATGGACACGACGGAAGGAGCAGAAGCAAAGGAAGGCGAACACGGGAGCAGGAAGGAAAGGCAGGAAAAACGGAATGCTAGGACGGTCCGGAAGGAAGCGCGAAAAGGAAAGCCATGTTCCTAGGTGTTGATTGCAGCGATTGCGAAGCCTTCTATGAATGCTGCAACTTGAGGGCCACAACAGTCCTGTGACTGTCGAGAGGATCGAATGGCAAGGGGACAGGCGACGGCCAGGACAAGAAGGACAGGAAATACAGAAAGGCAGGAATAGAAGAGACAACAACAGGGCATTCATTAAGAAACAAGCGTGCAATGATAAAGAATGAGTAACTTGAAATTCTCGGCCCCGGCATGGCCGCATGTTTGAGCGTTTCTCTGTTTTCTTTCCGATAGTCGCTGAGGACATTTGCCAGAACTTCGCGAATGGCACTTTGAAGATCACCACGCGACAGACTTGGCAGGTGCTGGAGTGTGCGTACACGCCCTCCTGAAGAATGCAGTGGCAGCCGTTGCAAGCTTTAGGATTACAGCTGGCTAAAGGGTCATGTAGGGCGGAGACATACAGGGATGAAGTTGCATGTGTGAGGGCTCTCCGACCAGATTGAATCCGAAGGGAGGCGAGCCTCAGAAGTTCCAAACGTTTCCTGCACCCGAGGGACAAGGAACTCACAACCTCAGTCACGAAAGCTAGCTCTGTGGAGCTTGCGGGAGTTCTCGTTTACCATTCACTTCGTAAGAGCGATCTGGGTCAAAAACGCACGCAGGACCCCCCCTCCCCCCCGCCATATGGTGCTTCATCTCCTCTTCTTACCCGACGGTGTCATCAGAACAGATTACCGAAAAACTGCGACATGCCACAAGCTGCTCTTTGCAGTCCTTTGCTCTAGCTTTCGTAGGCCAGTTCTCAAGTCGCGGAGTCTCTCAGCCTCAATCCCAGCTCAATCTCCGCAGGTGCATGGAGTCTTGAAGCGCAATGCTACTTGGTCATTTCCTTTTGGGCATCACGGTTTGAATTCTCAGTAATCTGCAGTCCGTAGCCGCGTTTTCGCTGCTCATGAGTCTCGACACGTAGTTGTTGCGAAGTGAATCAAGCGGACGGCCCACTCAGCACTGTTTTCCTGGTCACCGGCCCTTGCTAGGTGAAGGCTACGATGCGCGCCATGAACAAGGCCACCGGCTAAAATAATGCTGCTGGCACCCTTAGAATAGCTGCCGAATCACTTGGCCTTGCAATCATAAATGTCGTAAGAACCTAGAATACGAAGAATAAGAAAATGTGCTTTCGCACTCGGCAACACGTCGATATCTTTTGTCTATGTTACGGATGTGTGCCACCAACGTGGCTGTGCAGGCCTGCATGGACACGTTGGCTGCTTGCGGCGATGTTTGCCGGAACGTGCTCTGCACCTCCCGACCGGATGTATGCACTTCGTCTGTAACTGATGACCTGCAGATAAGGCATCACATATCGCTCAGCCTTGGTCCTTGACCATGCCGGAAAGTCTGAGGCTCCAAGGAGCTCCATGCAGAGATCCTGCACTACACGTACGAGATTCACGACCACTGCCTGCCTCGACACTGGTCGAATTGAGAGGGATCGATGCAGGGTTGTTCAAAAATTGAAAGCAGGGCTCCAGAGAGCAGGGCAGCAGCAGTTAGCGGTTAGCGGCGCGTGTAAAGTCAATTTATGTCAATTTCCGTGGGACATCACGACTTGATATAAGGCACGGACTACATGGGGCTGTTTCGGTGTTTCATCCCTCTCCCGGTGAGTAGCCTTCAAGAGTCTGTTCTCGTCCCGACTCGATCGTTTCGCCTTCAAACAGTGGTTCAAGACGACCATGCCGTAGAGGATGCAGACGACAAGACGTTCTAAAGGAGAAACGAAGGGAAGGTTCGCAAGCGAGTAAGTGCGTGTAGCTAGATAGGTAGGTATGTAGGCATGTAAGAATGCTGGCATGCAGGTATGTAGGTATGTACGTCTTGTTGTATGTTTAAGGTATGTAGGTAGGTGCGTATGTACATACGTGTGTGTGTGTGTAGGTTCATGTGTGCATGCATGCATGCATGCATGTATGTCGTGGTTTTAGGTATGTCGGTTTGTATCTAATGCAATGTCTATGTCTACGTGTAATTTCTTATGTGCATGCCATGTGCTTGTGCATGTCATGTGCATGTGCATGTGCATCAGTGCATGTGTATGCATGCATGCATGCATGCATGTGTGTATTTATGTATGTATGTATGTACGTATCTATGTACGTATGCATGTATGTATACATGTATGTAGGTATGTAGGTATGTAGGTATGTGGGTATGTAGGTATGTAGGTATGTAGGTATGTAACGGTCTGTCTGTCTGTCTGTCTGTCTGTCTGCATGTATGTATGTATGTATGTATGTATGGGTGCATGTGTGTATATATATATACAGATATGTACATATATATGTATATACATACACACACACATACATATATATATATATACACGTATATAATCTGTCTGTTGTCTGCGTGTCTGTCTGTCTGTCTGTCTGTCCGTCTGTCTGTCTTTCTGTCTTTCTGTCTGTATGTCTGTATGTCTGTATATAACGTAACGTAATGCAATGTAATGTAATGTGATGTAGTGTAATGTGATGTCATGTAATGCAATGCAATGTGATGTGATGTGATGCAATGTAATGTGATGTGATGTGATGTAATGTGACGTGGTGTGATGTCATGTAATGCAATGTGATGTGATGTGATGCAATGTAATGTGATGTGATGCAATGTGATGTGGTGTGATGTCATGTAATGCAATGTGATGTGATGTGGTGCAATGTAATGTGATGTGATGCAATGTGATGTGGTGTGATGTCATGTAATGCAATGTAATGTGATGTGATGCAATGTAATGTGATGTGATGCAATGTGATGTGGTGTGATGTCATGTAATGCAATGTAATGTGATGTGATGCAATGTGATGTGATGTAATGTGATGTGGTGTGATGTCATGTAATGTAATGCAATGTAATGTAATGTAATGTAATGTAATGTAATGTAATGTATGTACGTATGTATGTCTGTATCCCTGGTCTCTCTAAACCCGGCGCCCAAGTCCCAAACCTTAGCTCCGGAATGCAGCGCGTAAAGGCTCCGTGAGCCCTGCATCCAGGTGAAAGCTCCAGCTTGACAGGCAAATCCTAGTCTTTTAGGGCTTTAGGGGTTTAGGCAGGTTTAGGGGTTTACAGTTTAGGGTTTAGGGTTTGGGGTTTAGGGGTTTAGGGTTTAGGGTTTAGGGGTTATGAACCCGATATCGGCTACCGAAAGGAACGCTTATGCTTTTGGGTTTGTGGTTTAGGGTTTATGGTTTAGGAGTTTAGGGTTTATGGTTTAGGGTTATCATGTTCTAAACTACCAGTTACCAGTGCTATTCCTTAGGGCTCCGACTATAATGCAAGTACACATACCTCCCAAACCCTGTTCGGATGATTACGGCCCTGCCAGTAAAGCTTATAAGACCACATAAAACCGATAATGCCCCATAAGACCTTATGAAATCCCACAGACTATTCTAAACCTCAAGTGGGGCCCTCGCCTCTCGCCCATCAGTCCTACTCGGAACAGTATTTGATTGGTTTGGGAGGTTGCCCGTGTTTAGGGTTTAGGGTCTAGGGGCTTGGAGTTTAGGGCACTGGGTGGGTAAAGCGATCTTCCGGCTTCACAGAGCTCTGTCACAATGATCAAGGAAAGGTCCTAAACCCCGAAATCCAAAACCCCAAACCCTAAACCCTAAACCCTAAACCCCTAAACCCCAAATCTTAAACCCCTAAGCCCTAAAACCCTAACCCCTAAGCCCTAAACCCTAAACCCTAAAACCCTAAAGCCCTAAACCCCTAAACCCTAAGCCCTGAAGCCTGTCATCTTCCGACTTCGGAGGCCTGTGAAGCCTCAGCCGCCATGCCCGTGGCGGGCTACTGGATCGGAGGCGTTTGGGTGTTTTGCCCCCGGGGTGGTCTGCAAGGATTTAGGGGCGATAGGGTTTAGGCTCCCCCCCAAATGCCTTAAAGCATGCACTAAGCCTCCAAGCTTTCTAGAAAGCTTCCTGTAGCATAGAGTCGAGGCTCCCCTCCTCCCAATTCATGGTTAACAAGCGAGCTGCAGACACTTTGCAGTTTCACAGGACAGGAGACCCAGTAGAGACCCTGGGGTGTGGCATCCGGCTCTCGAACGAGGAGTCCGCAACCCTAAATTTTTAGGAGCCACGAAACACGAAGAAGCCGGTTTAATGTAGGAGCCCAAATAATTACCAATCCTATTTTAAGGGCTCCTTCTTATAATCATAGTATATTGGGCTCCAAAACCCTATTTCTAATTATTCTGGCTCCCAAAATTACACCCTGAGTGTAGCTCCTATACCGAACCCTTATAGAACCCTGTATAGACGCCTTTAAAGGGAACCCTACTCTAATGATTAAAGGGCCCCTAAACCCTAAACCCTTATAGCACCTTTAAAGGAACCCTACTCTAAGTCTTAAAGGGCCCCTATATGATTCTGCCACCCTCAGTACGAGGCCTGGGCTACAGCGAGCCGCTTCCGAAGAGGGCCGAGATCCTTCAGGACGGCCATCTTAGTTACATCTTAGGGTTTAGGGTTTAGGGTTTAGGGTTTAGGGTTTTAGGGTTTAGGGTTTAGGGTTTAGAGTTTAGGGTTTAGGGCTTAGGGTTTAGGGTTTAGGGGTTTAGGGTTTGGGTGTGGCGTTTTTAG